TTCTACTACAAGTTCTGAGATCCTCTTATATGTGTTTTCCCCATAGCTGGGATGACAGGGGCCTCACACCTTGTCCTTGTCTGGGAATGGTTCTTGTATACATTTTTTGCCTGGGTGGCCTTGAACCACTAGTATCCCATTTTCAATCTTCCAAGTAGCTACAGTTGAATGTGAGAACCACTATTGTCAGCTACCTCACCAGGTTATATCCTACTTCTAGGTATCAATTTGTCATTGATACACTATCAACAGTGTTTGGAGTCTGTGAGAACACAGGATAATTTTTTTAATTCTTCATTTTAAATATTGTAAAGTAGATAGGCAGTGATAAATTGACTTACTGAACATGTTGCTCAATTGGCTTACTCAATAAAGGGGTTACTGAATAATAAACCAAAGAACATGATTAAACACAGATGACAATATGACTATAGAATAAGGCAAAATATACACAAAAATGCATTACACTTTTTATGTCAGATATATCTCTATTAAGACTTTCAATATATAAATCTTGAGTAGTTTTCACTACTGCATATTTATAAACCAGGTGATTTCTCATTAATTTTCTTTTCCTTTTAATTCTACTGTGGTACTCTGGGATAGACCTAGGGCCTGGTGAGTGCCAGGTATGTACTCTACCCCTTGGGCCATGTCCCCTAGCTCTTTGTGGGTTTTGTTTAGAGGAAAGAATCTCTTAATTTTTCCAGGCAGGATTCTAACTTATTATCCATCTGCTTCCAACAGAGAAGTAGTAGGGTTATGGTCATACACCTCCATTGGGATTCAATGACCACTAATGATGGCGATGCTCTTGTTGCTCAGTGCTCTATATCTCCTGATGTCTATACTGTACATTTGCAAAAAGATAATACTTGATAGACCACAATTATGATAATCAATTTATGTGCAGTCAAACTATTCCAATACCATAAAATGTCCATATTAAATCAAATATAAGACTGCCCACACTTAGGTATGAACTTCTCAGGCTCGTATGCTCCATTCTTGATATCTAGATCTACATATGTATATGCTTGTGCAATTTCTGGAAGGTTTGGGAACTTGAGCTTGTGGGGATAGCCTGAGGAAGGTCATCACAGTAGATGATTTTTATGTGTATGCAATTCCCAACCCCTTCCTGTACGCCACTTACCTCTGCCTTTCTGTTCCTGGCCATCATCATAGAAACAGTTGTGCTCTGGCATGTCCTCTTCACTCATAACTCTAAATGAAATAGTGAGCCTTTTCTCACTTGGCTTGTTTATGGTAAGTATTTTGGTGACAGCAGTGATAAGTCTGACTGATAACGAACTCTGTTAAAATACTGAGAAACATTGTATATGGGATCCATATGCATATCCCTGGGAGCATTTTTGAAGTTCATCCAATATGTTTTGTGTACATGTGATAGCCCTATTGTTTGGTAACTATGTGTTCCCTACTTTAGAATAGGTCCTTCCTGAATAAGGGTGTCTATCTTAGTTTCCTGAAAACTCACAAAATTTAGAAAGCAGAAGAATTGATTATTGTGGTTATTAAGTTCATAGTGGTATATTTGCTTTTTGTGAATGCACACAAAGGACAATTCTGTTTATTCACATGCCATACATTCCTTGCCTTCCCAGTTGGCCTACCTCTGACATGAGTACATCTGTGTTTAGAGATTTCTGCACACTTTCCCAACTCAAAGAATAGGTCCAAAATTAATCTTAGAACAACTAGTGCTCCTCCCGGTGTTGAGCCAAAGTTTAGTACTTCCAGACACTGCTGGAAAATCCTGACCTTTGTAAACAGCCTACATCTGCTCTCTGACAAGTTCAAGTAAAATCATAGCTATGCTCTTTATTTGGATTGTTCTCTTTGATAAAGTGGAAACTATGCTTTTTCCCGGCTACTGAAGATTGGGGACAATGAAATTTTCATTCTGAAATTTCCTAAACTCCAAGGTTTTGTTATTTTTTTCTTAGTAGGTTGATGTGTGGCAGAACAGTTTCCAAATGAAATATACTTTAGTATGATTCTTCTAGAAGAAGGCTTCCCATAGAAAACAAAACTCCTGGACTTAGGAATCTACATTTGTGAATTGAAGCCAACAAGCACAGTCCGTGTTTGTTGCCCTAACAGACAACAGTAGAGGACCCTTCATGTACAAAGAGAAGTTGATTCTTTGGACTTCAAATAATTTTTAATATACAGCTAGTAACTATGTCATTTTTCTAACTCATTGAAGTGCACGAATTGGGAGGTACTACTCATACAATAAGAATTTATATATGGGGGCTGGGAAGGTGGCTCAGAGGCAGAGTGCTTGCCTTGCATGCATGAAGCCCTGGGTTTGATTCCTCAGCACTCCATAATCAGAAAAAGCCAGAAGTGGTGCTGTGGCTCAAGTGGTAGAGCACTAGCCTTGAGCTGAAGAGCTGAGGGACAGTGTCCAGGCCCAGAGTTCAGGCTCCATGACCAGCAAAAAAAAAAAAAAGAATTTATAGATATATCCTTTGTGTTGTGAATACAACACAACATATTCCTAATTACCCTTTGTTTAGTGTTCTAGTTTTTAGCTCTGTATGGGGTCCCAGTGACAGCATCTTGGCACTAAAGCAGGAAGAAAAAAGGGACAGAAAGAGTACAACCTTTTGCTATATGCCTCTTACTAAATATTCTGCTATGGATATTGAGAGATCAGACATGTAATTCAGAGAGTAACAGGGCCCAACCTATGTGGACATTATGCAACAAGCACACCACTAGAAAAAGTAAAAACCAAAACAAAGTTTAAATAGGTAGGTGAATTTTAATAACAAATACCAACACAAAATGCCAAGAATAATATAACATTAATATGGAAGCAATATAAATTGTTGATTACCTTTTCATTTTAATAAGTCTTTAAAATTCAGTGCATTGTCATTTCAACACACTAGAAATGTAAATCCGAAAAACAAAGTATTAATTTTTCATGTTTTAGTTTCATGTCTTTGAAATGTTATGTTATGCATAATTATGTTAAATAAAATATATGTTAGTTATGTTAACATTGTTTTCTTTCTAAGTTGGTACTGTAGTTTGATAGTAATATTAATGAAAATGATTTTTATTGTGTTATTATTTTCTCTAAGGTAGGGTATACCTTTTTTCCAGGGCTAATCTTGATTCTCAATCTTCCTTCCTCCATGGCCTGAGTAGCTAAAATTTTAGGAGTAGACCACCATGCCCAGGTTTTAATTATGTTTTTATTGAGTTAGTCTGAAATGGAGTATATGATAATTTCAACATGAGAAACGATGTACACTTTTACAGTTTTTTTAAAAAGCACTCTTTTGATTTCAACAAGGAAACACTGTAAACAATTTTTAATTGTTTTCAGTTACTTTTACTAGGTCATTGATATGCAGTGGTGTTGGAATTTCAACATGTTAAGAACAAATAATTTTACATGCTTTTTCTATGTGTTTGAAACACTGTACACTATTATTTCAACATATAAACAGTGTCAATGAGTTATTAGTCAGTTATTCCATATCTGTTGCTTATTACTAAGTCTGGAATATACAAAGTACCTTTCACATTTATAGAATATCACACATTGGAATGGCCAGATTTCTAAGGCTCAATAGACACATGTGCCTCTTACAAGTACCAAAGCAAAAACAAGCAACATCAGTACAAGTGAAAAATAAGCAAGTACATATAAAATTATATCAAACATTAAGGATATAAGATGAATCACGAGAAAGCATCTGATAACAGAACTAGAGACAGTAAGGAAAGTGCTATGGCTTAGACCTTACATGTTCCCAAAAGCTCAATGATAAAGGCTTGGTACCTAAAGGATGGTAATGTTGGGAAATGGTGGCAACTTTAGGGTTGGGTCCTACTTGGAGGAAGTAGGGTACTGGAGGCATGCCTTTGAAAAGGCTATTCAAACTCTAGCCCCTCTCCTCTTTCGCCTTCTTGAGGACCATTAGGTAGGCAGTTCTGTTCTATCATGAGCGCAGCCTCACTACAGGCTCAAACATGATGGTATCAAGCAACCAGTGACTGAAAACTCTGAAAATGGGAACCAAACTAAAAATTTCTTCCTTATAGGTTGATTGCCTTGGTATTTTGCACAATAACAGAAAGGAGACTAACAAAGGAAATGAGAAAACTTTCCTATGGAAGAACCATTTAAGCTATGACCTGAGTGGTGAGGAGCTAACCAACAGTATGGAGGCCAGGTTTACTAAATAGAACATGTGAAGGGTGAAAATACTGTATATAGGAGGCTAAATAATTTTCAAAGGGAGCCTAAGAGAGATTGGAGGGACAGATAAACCATGGGAACATTTGTACTCTGAGAGGCTTGAGGTAAGAACCTTGCCTTATTAGCCTTCTCACTCTTAGCACCTAGAGTAATACCTAATAATAGACTATTGGCTGATGTGTATGAAATAATGACTGAGTTCCAGCGGTTAAGACCTAGAAAAGGATGTGGCAACATGCAGTTTTAGACATCAGTAGGTAGGTGGGCATAGTTTTCTTTTTTTAATAGCAGATGGTTTCTCCTAAGCAACTTAAGGCAACATTAAAGGTAAGATGTTTGAAATACTTCAGGGTGGAAATTAGTGTCTTCAGTCACTACTCTATTAAAGCCATCACTCTATCAAAGCATCCAGTAAGGTTTAAATTGTCCTGACTGGTGTCAATCACCCATAAGTGAACTGATCAATTTGGCAATAAAATGGTATAGCATGAATGGGTCTGCTCATATCACTTATCCAACACTGTGATCAGTAACAAGAAAGCAGTTGTAGAGAACAATAGACAGGAGACTCACAGGACTTCTCAAAGCTCTCTATTTTCTTCTATACATACCAGTTACGAATCTAATCTTCCTAACACCAAAGTCTTGAACAGCAGAGTTTTAAATATGGTGACTCTGGGCTTCAGGCAAGAATACTGAATGCTTTAAAGGCATACATCATTGTTCTATCAGCTCTTTGCACTGTGAAAAATCATGCATATGAAGTGGTCCACTTCATGTCATTCCGCTCTGCTGCCTGCAGCATTACTTTCAATTGTGATTTCACTACAGAAAGCTTTTGTCGGTCTAAGCTGCCACGAAAACCCCACTGATCATAGCAATGTACAGGGATAGGATAAAGCACATACTTCAGGTCCTTCAAGGCTGTTATGTGTGGGAAAATATTCCTAAGCATAGGCATGGTAATAGGATTGGAGGCAAAGCCAAGGACATGGAGCAAAGAACAGCTTCTTATGGCTGGGATGAGAGAAGAGAGAATAGTGTCTGTTATAAGGCAACTATTTATCTCTAGGTGCTTCAGGGTACCTGATAGTTTCTCCAGAAGAATCCGTAATGGTTGAGAATCTTCCCAAGTTATCTGGTTGTTACTGAGATTCAATACTCTTAGACGGCTGGTCTGAAAGCTTTGGGACAGGGAAGTGAAGTCTTTAGTAGTCAGGTCACAGACATTCAGATACAAGAAATCCAACTCAGGTGACAGGACTCTGCAAAGAGTTAAAAAGTATTTATATCCAATTATCAAACACACGATATTTTAAATGTTCCAAAAATAAGCCTTGCAGTCTGGAGGTACCTCAGAAAGCTAAATATAGACCTCCCTTATGACCCACCCATACCACTCCTACGCATCTACCTTGAGCAACAGGAACCAGGACACAAGGACACATGCTCCTCCATGCCCCACTACAGATGAATGGATCAAAAAATTGTGGTACCTACATGCAATGGAATATTATGCAGCCATTAGAAAGGACAAAATAATGGCATTCGCAGGGAAATGGATGGAACTCGAAAAAATCATTTTGAGCGAGGTAAGCCAAGATCAAAGAGACTGATAGCACAAGGTCTCCCTGATATATGGATGTTAAATCCAAAATGCAAGAAGATATGACAAAGTAAACAAGACTCGAGAAACAAAGGACCTTCACTCAATTTGTCATATCATTACTAAATGATTCCATGTTCTTGACCACATATATATATATATGTATATATATATATTGTGTGTGTATACATATATATGTGCATATCTGAGGGAAGCTATGAAGAGGACACAGAATTAGAGGGAAACAGGGAAAACATACAACAGAGGGGCCCATCAGCTGCACTGGACATTGATGAAAATGAACTATGCAACTCAAGGGCAGCGATGGGAAGGAGGGAATGAGAGGGAAAGAGGGAACAGCTTAGACTAAGCAAAAGGAAAGAAATATACATGTCACCCAATGTGGAAAAAATAGTTGTATTGTCAAAGCTCATATAATTCACCAACTTTATAGATGATAATAATGATAATTTGCCTCGTGAAGGTTAAAATGTGTTTGTGACGTTAAGTATCGCTATCTTACAATACTGTGAAATTTGTGAAATTTATATAATCACTTACTCTCACTAAAAATTACTGAAAAAACTTTGGACTAAAATAAGCACTCCTAGATTTCAGATTCCCATGACTCTAGAATAAAATATTTCATATATACATTATAACATTAGTCAATAATGTGGATTTTACAATCACTTAATAGATAACAGTCCTAAGAAATTTCATGTAACCCTAGATACCTTGCCAGTCTCTCACCTGAGTATTTTATGCAGCTGATCTTTGACAGAGAAGTAAGCCAGGCTGAGCTCCTGAAGGCTGTCCATCCGCCCAAGGTGAGTGAGAAAAGCTCTGAAACTTTTCCCTTTATAGGATCTAAATGTGATTTTAGACAGACTGAGGCTGTCCAGGTGGATCATCTGAGCCAAAATGCTGCAAACTTCACTCAAATAAGATCCATGCACTCCCAGATGATCAATGCATACCAGATCCAGAAACTTCAGTGTGCTTCTACATTCAGATACTTTATCAATTTGCAAATCTCTGCAGCAGAGATGCAGGGATCCAAAGCTCTGCTCAACTTTACCTAGAACCACAGAAAGCAATTGCCATGTCTTCACAGTACCATCAAGATATAGGTCCACTAATACTTCCATGGGTTGTCTGGATAGTTGAAGTTCAGACTCAGAATTTGAAAAACCAGGCCGAGCTCCTTGTAATTTCAGGATAGAGTTTGGAGAATAAACACAAGACTGAAAACATAATGGGAACCTGTTCAAAAAGTCAGAACATGTGGTCTTGCATTCTGTATCCTGCCTTAAATCTAGGATCCTCAGTTTGGGTACCCTGTAGGAGAGGAAAAGATGGCACATATAAGAGGTAGCAGACTTTAATGTGAACCAGAGGGATAAACAATGAGAAGCAGGGACAACATCTTTTTTCTTGGGCATTACTTCATATACAATCTACCAGCAACAGTGTTAATATTAATGTCCCTCTTGTACATAATGTCCAATACCAAAATCCATCTTCAATCATCTCTCTGTAATCAAATCTGTCTTTAAGATAAACTCAAATGTTGTACCAAGTCGGGCACTGGTGGCTCACCCCTGTAATCTTAGCTACTCAGGAAGCTGAGATCTGAGGCTTGCAGTTTGAGGCCAGTCTGGGCAGGAAAGTCATTGAGACTCTTATCACCAATTAACCACCTGAAAACCAGAAGAGGTGCAGTGGCTCACATGGTAGAGTACTCACCTTGAGCTAAAGAGCTCAGAGACGTCACCCAAGCCCAGAGTTCAAGCCCCATGACCGACCCCAAAAAATGTACCAATAGCCTCATATGGATTTTTTTCAATGTTACCAAGTTTATTATCTTAGGGTCATAAGAACCAAAAACCTGAAGTGGCTTGACAAGATTGTGGGTTTTTTTTTTAGCTGTCATTATAAAAAGTACTTTATGAATACAAAGCATCTTAGTGTTGGTCCCTGCAATATTCTCACCCCCCCCAACATTCTCACTCCCCTTTGACCCACTCCTCCATTACTTTACATTATTTTGTGATATATACAATGAACTCATGACTGCATTCTTCCTCACTTCCCCTCTTCATTCATCTACCCCTCTACCCTTCGCCCCACCTCCCTTCTTGCATATGCCCATTTCCTGGTGCTGATTTTGTTGGGCTTTGGCCTAGTCTTTCTAAAAGATTGTACTATTTGAGCTCTTCATAGAATCTATTATACTTCAGTTAATTCATTTGTAACCACTTGCATACTACCCAATATCATGCAGATTTTCATTATTCATCATTAACTACCTCTGGAGACTAATAAGCCCTCTCATGCATCATGTCCTTATATATCTTCTGTTGACTCACCATGTGTCTATTATTTATAATCTTACCGAGAAGAGTTGTGGACAGGAAGGAACTGAAGACCATCAATCAAGGCTTCCACGATTTCACAATATGACTCCTGAACGTTCAAGGTCCCAACATGGAGACAATGAAAAGGCCACATGCTCACTATTGCCTTCAGTATCTTCTTATGTCCACCAGATACGGCAGCAATAAACAATGGAATAAAAAGTTCTCTTGGAATCTCCTCAAGGGCGTGGATGGCTAAAGGCTCATTATTCATCAGAGTCTGTACTGCAAGGTCAAGCAGTGTGCCTGGCTCCTTTGGGTCCATATTAATGAATCTATACCATGGTGAAAAATATGATAAATTTGGAGAAGACATCCATAGTTTTTATTTTCCCCCTAAATTAGAACTAGACAAAATCTTACTAAATAAATATGATAAGAATGCCCAAACTTAATGTCCAAGTGTGTCTTACTTGTTTGCTTTCTAAATAAATGTCTTCCAATCTCCTACATAGAGGCCTCATGTCTTGGGACTGAATTTCTTTTCTGCAATTAGTACTAATAGGGCTGGGAATGTGGTTTAGTGGTAGAGTGCTTGCCTACCATGCATGTAGCCCTGGATTTGATTCCTCAGTACCACATGAACAGAAAGGGCCCAAAGTGGTGCTGTGGCTCAAGTGGTAGAGTGCTAGCCTTGAGCACAGAAAGGCTTAGGGACAGTGACCAGGCTCTGAGTTTAAGCCCTAGGACTGGCAAAAAAAAAGTAAGTACTAGTGTAGGCCAGGAGTTGAGCTGAGTTCCACTCCTTCTGGAGATCTCCTCTGGCCTCTCAGTAGATCACAGTGACAAGAATAAGCATATGACAAAAATGTCATTAGTAAATCAATAGTAAGGGGCTGGGAAGATGGCTCAGTGGTAGAGTGCTTGTCTTGCATACGTGAGGCCTTGGGTTCAATTACACAGTACCACATAAACAGAAAAAGCCAGAAGTGGCTCTGTGGCTCAAGTGGTAGAGTGCTAGCCTTGAGCTGAAGAGCTGAGGGACAGTGCCTAGGCATAGTGTTCAGGCCCCACAACCAACAACAACAAAAAAAGAAATCAATAGTAAGTTAACAGAAGATAGTGTTCATCAATGAGCTACTTGCGTCCTGCTATTTCCTACCAAAAAATATAATCCAGCTGGATACTGGTGGCTCATACCTGTAATTCTACCTACTCATGAGGCTAAGACCTAGCCTAGGAAAGAAAGTCCAGGGCTTTTATCTCCAATTAACCAATACAAGGCCAGAAGTGTAGCTGTGTCTCAATGGCAGAGACTATCTTTGAGTGAAAAAGCCCAGGGAAGTGCCCGGGCCCTAAATTCAAACCCACTACTGGCCCCGAAAAAGAAGAAATCTAACTCAACAAAAAGGAAAATATAACTCTACACAAAGATGTAAAACCACAACTTTATCAACTAAAAGTTGTCTGCTTTATCATGTTCCCATCAGTTACCCTAGCCAAAGCACCCTCTTTATTAGGCAGACTTCAGGACTGTGACAGTTTATGCCTGACTAGCATGTTTCTGTTTCCCACCAATCCACAGTATTTAATCAGGTCAATCAATCCCTTATGAACGAAAGGCCATTTCATTATCTTGTTACCAAGAGTGCCCACATGGCCTCTGCATGCTTGCTTTCTTCCAGAGGGTGATATGTGTAGTTCCTTCTGTTATGTGGTACTTTCCTTTCCTAGGCTGTAAATGTTAGTAATAAACTTCTGTGTATTTGATCTGTCTAGTCTCAGGTACTGTATATCTGGCTAATGGTGTGAATCCCTCCCTCACCACTGAAGTAAAGGGAAAGACAACAAAATGAATATTCTTGCCACATATTCATAACCTAATGTAATCATAAGAAAACATCAAATAAATTAAAATTCAGACATATTCTAAAAAAGTACCTGACCAGGACTCTTCCAAAGTGACAAGAGTTGTGAAAGATCAAATGCAGTGCAGAATCTTGAATAGGTTCCTATAATAGGATTTTTAAAAGCACTAATGAGATGAGTAATAAAATTCAAATGAAATCTATAGTTAGTTATTAGCAATGCATCATTGTGAATCTCCTAATTTTGTAATTTTCTGTGTACAGAATATATTACTAGAAAAATCTGAGATAAGACTTTCTGTACAATATTTTTATTGGCTCTATGTGTTGAACTCAAGGCCTTACACTTGCTAGGCATACTGTCAACCACTTTGACCCATCCCTTGTCTAATTAGTTATTTTTCTGATGCAGAGGTGGAGAACCTGTGGACCTCAGGCCCTATAAAGCTTTCTGCATCTGATCTGCATGTACTGATAATTTTGTATGACACCAGAATGATGTTGCACTATTCAAATGGCAAGTGGAAGGAAAATGAATGTTTCTTTATCTTTTATAAGGTCTTGTATATCTCCTGGTGGGGGGAGGCAACCTCAAAATCAATCCTGTTACCTAAAGCCTCCTATGTAGCTAAGAAGACAAGTACATATCCATAGTTTGTTGAGATGGAATCTCCCTCTGTTTTTCCCCAGGCTGACTTTGAACTTAATCCTCACTTCTTAATAACTGGAATTACAGGCTTGAGCCAATGGGCATGGCCATCTCTCTGCAATTGTTTGAAAGTTTAAAAATATTTCAAAATGAAGAATTAAAAAGATTAAATCAGTCTGGATGGTGGTGTGTACCAGTAATCTTAGAACTCAGACACTGAAGCAAGAAGATTGTGGAGTCCATGTACAACCTAGATTACATAGTGACATGTTCAAAAAGCTCCAGAAAATAGTAACAATAAAAGAAGTATCAACTTGTAATGGTACATAAGAAATGAAACCATAGTCATCTACAACTTGTGAGTAATTGGGATTCATTCTTCAGAGGAGAAAGTGCTTTTAACCATAATACAAATGAAAAGCAATAAAGAAGGGATACCCATTCAGTTCAACACATGTTATTTATAAGTCTGGCATAAAAATCACACACAAAACTAAGATGAAAGAAGGAATATAACTTTCTGAAAATAAGGAGAAAAATGAGAATTTTTGTTGTTGGTGTTTTGGAATTTTTCAACTCGGTGCTTTGTGGTTGCTAAGGATGTGCTCTACCACTGAGCCAAACCCCCAGTCTTTTGGGGAGATTTTAAAGAAAGAATGTGAAATTATTAGGTAAGTGAAGTTAATTACACATAAGCCAATGCATAAACAGTGCCCCACTAGTGAACCACTGAGTCATCTGTCTAGATCACCTGTCCTAATGATCTACCTAAGCTTTAGCCCTGGATAATTTAGGCCAAAATACATGTAACATACATACACATATATAAAAGATACTATTGTAATTTACCTAATGGGAAGAATCCAAAAATAATTTCTTTCTTTAGCCACTGGAGCTCCTCTTGTTGTTGTTAAGATCTTGCCGCAAAAAATGCAACTGGTTTTGTGGTGCTTTATCTCTTAATGGTTTTTCTCTGAAAGCTCAACTAGCCACAAGAGGAATTTTGCGGTTCAGCTTGAGTCAAGTCACTTGTTACCAAGATCAATCAACCCCATAAGCATTGGTAGGTGGCTGACCTAAAGGAGCAGAGTTACTTCAAGCTCCGAGATCCCTTGAGTTTTGAGAAATCCCCGGAGCTCTAAGTTATTGGTTTCTAGTAGTTTCCAGGAGTGTGAATTATTGGGATCTTCCAATTTCTGCAACTTCCGCTATCCTTCTGCTGGGAATCTTCTAGAGCCTTCAAGCTCCAAAGGTGAAAAAAACGTGAGTGTGATTTGGGAACTGGCTGGCCAGGGATTCTTGAAGGCAGGTCTGGTACTCAGATGACTAACCTTCAGATTTAGTAGACAATACAGCAGGGCAGGGCATTTACTGAAAAATAAAAGTAAGCACATTTTATTTCAGATGTTTTATATATTTTAAACAGGGATATAGCCAGACAACACAGACATTTGTGGTCTCTGTATTGCCTGAGAAGATCACTTGGCCTTGGCAAAATAGGAATGCTTTCATCTTATCATCGAAAAGTACCCAACAAAAGAAAAAGAAAAAGGAAGAAACGAAAGAAGGAAGGAAGGAAGGAAGGAAGGAAGGAAGGAAGAAAGAAAGGAAGGAAGGAAAGAGAGAGAGGGAGGGAGGGAGGGAGGGAAGGAGAGAGGAAAGGAGAGAAAGAAAAAGGAAGGAAGATAACGAAGGAACTGGAATCGTTATGAAAGATTAGAAAACTGTGTTCTAAACTTTCTGTAATGAAGCCAGTAAAGAATTTACACTGAGGGCTAGGAAGGTGGCTCAGTGGTAGAGCGCTTACCTTGCATGCATGAGGCCCTGGGTTCGATTCCCCAGCACCACATAAGCAAAAAGAAAAAAAGTCGGAAGTGGTGCTGTGGCTCAAGTGGTAGAGTGCTAGCCTTGAGCTGGAGCTGAGGGACAGCGCCCAGGGCCAGAGTTCAGGCCTCACGACCGGACCCCCCCAAAAAAAGAATTTACACTGACATATGAAAATTGCAGCCTAAAGTAGAAATTTTCCACCCATCCAGGAATACTGCTATCAATTGAGATGCTAGTTAATATTTGGCTTGAATTCTACTTTCATTACATGCTCTCAACTCCATATTTTGTATTTGTGGCTTTTTCTCTTCCACAATATTCACCAGCTATGGAATACACTAAGCCTCCAACCTACTTGACTTTGCTTGTTTGGGTGAACTTCTACCACTTTAGCCATGCTTCCAAGCCAGCTTTTTGCTAATTATTTTGGACATAGAATTTCACATACTTTTCTGACTATGCTGGCTTTAAATCTCAGTTCTCCCAATCTCAGCGTCCTAAATAGCTAGTATGACAGGATTGAGCCTGGCTTGGAATATAGTATTTTTACTCATATGCTATTATTTTAAAATTTCATTTTATTGTATTTTAAAGGTGATGTACAGAGGAGTTACAGTTACATAAGTAAGGTAATGAGTACATTTATTATCAAACATTGTTTCCCCCACCCTCGTTTTCTCCCACTTTCCCTCCCCCTCCAATTCCCCCCTTCTCATATGCTGTTTTATTCAATTGTTTGCCATAGTAGAAAAATAACAATCTTGAAAGGGAAAGAATCTTGTCTATTACTTATTAATATATCCTGAGTGACTAAAACAGGGCCTGGTCCCATGGATTTTGAGTATTTGTGGGATGAATAAATGAATTTTTTCCAGCACTCCTTTTCTTATTCTAAAACTAAATTATCAACCATACTCCCATGCCATTGTGATTTTCCTCTAAAAGCCTGACCCCACTGATTGTCTTCCTTAGTTCACATCT